GGGGGGGGGGGGGGTGGAGGAGATGGAGTCCCCATGCAAACGAACATGACCGGAAATGAATGTTGGGCTAAACCCTACTTTTACCCACTCTCTAATCTTTGCACGGCTCTAACGTCACCAACTCTCGCATGCAAATTTGACAACGTGCAGAAATGGCACACGGCGGCGGATTGTTATAAAGGATGCACGCAGGCCTGGCTTGTGGTCTCACAGGCAGTACTCCTTAACGCCGAGGTAGTCGCTGTTCTCGGCCTCGTTGAGCTGGTTGGCGGTCTCAGCCTCGGGCAGGCCGAACAGGACAACTCCGACTTCGTGCTGTAGGGGCACAACAAACGTAAGACAGGAAGGTGTACGAATGTTGCAGTTGTTGTTGTTGTTGTTGTTGTTGTTGTTGTTATTCTCACGGAGCAGCAACACCCACGGGAAAAGTTCTGTGGCCGCTGCTGATGAGCACACACCTTTCTTCCTGTTCATCGCATACGAAGTCACCGCAATATCGACACACGGCAGACGAACACCAACACCAACTAACGCCCTGCTGATTCAAATCAATTCCGCTGAGAGCAACTCCCTGACGGCAAGCTTTCGAGTCCTTGGGCGAATTTATTGGTCCTGCGTCCGGCGTGATGGTAGAGACCGGACCGCTGGCTCAGCATGTGCAACAAAATGACGAAAAAGTGCAAGTATGGCGGGCGCCTCGCTTCTTCTATCATGTAGAACAAATCATTGCTCCCTTTGACATATACACAATGTGGCAAACCAACGTCCTACCTTTGCCGCACAGCTCTGAGAAACCCTGCTCCCGTCGACAACGCACCACTGTAGCAAACCAATCGGTCCTTCCCATGGTCTTTCGGCACACGGCTCTGCCGACTGAAAAAAATCGCACGTATGTGCACCACACGGCGTTTGCCGCTAAGAAGCGGGGTGGTGCGCAAATTTCGACGCCGCGCTGCTGAAGGTGACATGTTCGTCGGGAACACACCTGCTTGCTTTGCAGCATCTTCTGGACCATCAGCACCCGAACCGCTCTCCTTGCCAGCTCCATGTGGTCGCCCATGCTGGCTATTGCAACGAACGGTGCACGCGCGACAAAAACCTTGAGAGTGACAAAAAGAGGCTTGATTTCCCTTGGAAAACAGGTGGACACAAAAAAGGAAGTGGGGCGTCAAAACAAAACACCCTGACGACGAATCTGATATTTTTGAGAGGGGCACGCACAGACCTTTCGTTGAAGAAGTCAAAGCGGTATTGCGTGTATGCATACTCCGCACACGTTCAACTGGGGATCTCAATGTTTTTTTTCGTATTTCATCAGTATGACCACAACGAATCCATCTCTATCGAAGACATGAGTCTGAGATAGATTAGCACTGAATCCATAAGAGTCAACGAAAGTTCTGCTTTTCCACGATTTCCCGAGCAGCACACACTAAGATCTTCACAATATCGTGAAAACTGACTCTATTCCCAAGTTTGGTTCCCGGTGTGTTCACGAGTGTGTCCTCCCGCCCCCCCCATGTTGACCAGTTACAACACAGCCTACTGTAGCATGAACAACAACAGCAAAACACGAGCAGAGCCTCTCGGCACATACAAAAACTCGTCCTGCTGTGGCAGGAACGTGCTGTGGGCGCTACAATGTTCTTAGAGGTTGATCCGGCCATCTAGTCTACATGACGACTCGCGGTTTTATGTGCCCGAGGCAGATGTTCAAACATGGCCACACCCACCGTTGCAGTCCACCAGGAAAACGATTGCCTCCTTTCCAGCCATGCTTAAGCAGAGGATCACCTAGACCTGCAGCCTTCACACGGCAGCCCCTTCGCTTGCTTGGAACCCTGTCGCTGCTGCTGTCTCTTGTCAGCGGCTCTACCCACGGCGCGCACACGCGAATTCGTCGTCGTCTGGCGAGTATCCTTGAGAGAGGCAGAGCCCGATGAGGCAATCAGCCCTGCTGCTGTCAGGAAAGTGGAGGTTCCTGTCCAGAGGGCGTCAAAGCTAACGTACTCTTCACCTAAAGATACTGCTGGTTCTTGCTGCTTTCGTTCTGTGTACGCGCTCCTCTTGCTCTGTGCTGTGTGTCTGTTGTTCGAACCGCGCGAATTAGCTGCAGCGACTTCCAGGGGGCTCCGTACATCACACACTTTCAAATTACCCCGCCCGCCCACGAATCCCCTTAGTGCAATGGCGCCGCATCTACGATCGCCGTCACGACATACAGGCACTGCTGTACACTCCAAGCGCCAGGTTCGCCAGAAAATCAGGTCCCAGCCGGCGTACGGTTCACCCATATGTGGCCGGCAGTCTGACATCCATTCGCAGAGAGCGAACAAGAAGGGCACGCTCGATTCTCGGCTCCCACGCACTACATCGGCGTTTTTGACTTGGTTTTAGAGAGCGGGCTTGGGATGGAGCTTGCCGCGGAGATGTCTGCTGCACGGAATGCACCAGGTGCCCGGCAGACTGCATGGGTGAGCACAAACACGCGCCTACCCTTGCTTTGCTTTACACTTTCAGAAAATAGAATGGAACAGGCGGGATTTTTTTCACCTCCTGTCGGTACACCCAGTCGTGCATTTGGTACATGTCTGCTTGGTTGCGATTCCATCATTCGTCCTTGCGGGTAAGTAAATTGACCACGATGCACGCTGCTTCACCTTGAATATTGGTCAGGTACAATAAACCACGATGTAGTGTACATCGACTGTTCGCTGTCGTGCGTGGAGGGTGTAGGCCATGGAAAGTACGCCGTTATTTAGGTTGTGGAGCTCATCACCTTCACATCATCGCGCGCATTGCGGTGTTTGGCACACAACATAAAGCATGCTTGTACTGGGTACGTAGCATCTCCATCCAGCATCTTTGCCGAAATGCTGATCGTTATCACCAACCTACCAACTTGCGTCCAGCCGGGATCGTCGGAAACAAGCTTCCACCGTCGAGAGCCGCCTGTACAGCAGTATGGAATGCATGGTTTTTACGCGCAGCGGGTACAATTTAGGAAGAACATTCCGGTCGCCCCGGTGGTCTAGTGAGTAGCCTCGCAGCCTGCTGATGGCCAGGTCATGGGTTCGAGTCCCGACAGAGTGAGTTTTTTCTCGTCAATTTAATCCTGGTCTCCGTTGGAAGCGACGCGCTGCAAGCTCGTTTGTAGTAAACTGATCGACTTCATAAGTCGGGAGGGAAGGAATTGCTGTACCCTTCTCGCGATATCTCAGGCAGGAACGCAGGAGGGGGTCCAACCCCCCCCTCCTGTGTGACCCCGGTTGGGCCGTCTAGCTGGTGGAAGTGGAGGATAGGGGCCAGAGGGGCAGACGACAGAGTCCAATGATGGGAGACACACACATACTCTGGGCCATATCTATACTCTCGGTCATGCGGTAGTATTTCTGTCGATTTCGTTATGCTCGGCCACCACCGCTGTGCGCAGGTGTGGTTCGCGGCGTAGGTCGGTGGCCTGTTTATTGTGTTACTGCTGTTTTTGTGTTACATGATGAATATAAATCCAAAGAGAAGATGATTTGCCGTGGGTCCTCGGAGGAGAGCTCTTCACTAACGTTGATCTAACTGTAGGGTAGAAGCTGCGAGAGACCAATCCACGAAAGGGATGGATGACACCAAGAACGTTCCGACTTCAACGCAAGCGGCCGCTGCGGCAACTTCCCCTGCGAGCAGATGCTGAACGGGATCCGAACGGAGGTGGTGGTGATCCCCTACGCCGACCGAACTTTCGTCATCGTCACGCAAATGAAGAAGCTTGGCAACTTGGTGAGTGTTTGCTCGGCGGTCAGCTCGAGACATATCGTGCCGAAAACATTGCACTGTACGAAAAAAGCGCCGTCGCTTGAGAGCCTTCGAACATGCCTGCGTTCTTTATTCCTTGTGATGGCTGCCCCTAGAGCCGAATCTGGGTTCACATGGGTTTTCATTGTGGGGAATGAATATCGGCTAACCGAATGTGCTCGAGCTTTTTCAGATTCGATTTTTTTCGTCGATTTCTCAACTGCCCACCATTCAAAGCATTGGCGCTAACCAGTTACCTAATGAGGTCTTGTTGATGAGGTCATGTTTGACGCATGGAACCAATCTCCTCAACTAAGGTGTGCCATACTAGACTTGAGTTGAGGTTCGCTCTCTTCCTGCACAAATCCCAGACGAAACTCCCGAGGGATTGACCAAGGCAGCCTCATGCCGTCAGCCGACGTAACCTCACAACTCGGTAGAATGCCTGCTTAGAGATACGGAACCCCCCTGTCCTATTCTCAACACTGGGACGCCTTGTTGACAGCGGGCGCCCCTTTGCTTGACCTGGCCTGCCGCAGTTGATGGCGACTTCGGATGCCGCCGGGGGCATGGTGACGGGCAGCGGGGGGCGGAGATATAGCGTGCAAGTTTTGCTTGGAAGGAGGGACGACCCTCTTCTCTGCTTGTACGCGCGACAAATGCTGGAACAGATGAAGTGAGACCGAGCCGTGCTCCTTGTTTTCGCGTTCGGAAAATTGATTATTTTGTGCTAGAGATGTGTGCTTGTGCCTCTCCTCGAGAGAGACTGCGGGTGAATGCGACCGAACGACGGTGAGAAAATAAATCCGTACTCTCGAGAGCGACGCGTTGTCAACAGCTAAGGCATTCGAAACAACCCCCCTTTCGCGCCCCTCTGACTTCAGGTCAGACAAGCCACTGCTGCTGGCAGTATGTCTCAAAGAGGAGGGACGGGATACGAAGACGTTCCAAGAGGTTATGAACCAGGTTCTCTCGCTCGGAGGATGGCGCGGGTGATGCGATAACGGCGACGCCTAACGGAGGCCAAGAAGCCTATCAGATGCTCATCCGCCGAAGTTTGTCAGGGATAAAGAATTGATCCGTTATTTGAAGAACGGGTCGGTCAATCGAAGAACAGGTCGATTATTCGAAGAACAGGTCGAACATTCGAAGAACAGGTCAAGCATTCGAGTAACAGGTCGATCATGGATGCTTGAAGGAGTACGAGTTGTAGATGGTAAATAGCTTGACCCCAGGGAAAATGAAAAGGTACTGGTATCCGACAGATGATGGCATGTGGGAAGGTGTACCGATTGTGGGTAAGCGTCTGTTTACTTTGACCATATTCCGCATGTACACCTTCGCATTTGATCCGCAGGGGCGTCTTGATGGGAAGGTGAGCTGGATGACGACGAGTTGATTGTGTGGGCCCAGCAATGGCGCAGAGCGTCTGTTGTACATGCTGAGGCTGTCAGGGTCGGAAAGTATCCGCTGTTTCGATTGATCAGCGCCCCTCGCTTTTGTACTAGGATGAAGCAAAGTAGACGTAGCACCAAACTGGCAATATAATTGATTGTGACGTAGGCACTGCTGTTGCTGTTCGAGTGAGAGTGCGTGCGGGTAGACTTTGAACCTCTGGCAAGGATATTGCAGTAGTACGGTGACCCTCGTGATTTTTTGTATCTCTTGTGCTGGGGGTTGAATGCACGTTCGAGTCAAAGCCCCCGGGCGCGTGCAATGTGTGCTTCTCATGTTTCTGGGTAAGAGCTTCGAATATTTACTGGATCGTTTCGGGATAGTTGATCTCGGATGTTGTTGTCGTTTGTCGTTTGTCGTTTGCATTTTGGCGAGGACCTTGACCACGTGGGTGGCCACAATGATACCAGTGAGGACTCTCGCTTTCGTCCTGATGCTCTGTTTGCCATGGCGCTATGCATTGGGTAGTTTAGGCTCTAAAGCGAGTAATTTGGAAAGTTTGGAGCCAGTTATTCCTTGCCCAGTAGGATGGTAAGCGGTCGACGCCGCGCTGGTATCCGTAGCTCAGCAGTTGACGAAAGCACGAACTATGGATGCGAACGCGGCGACCGGCGAAGGGGATGTCCTTCACATCGACTCGTTTTATGCATGGGAAACATGCGCGTCGGCGCCGAGAGCTTTTTTTGTTGTTGGCAACACATGAGCGCCGTGATTCGATGGTGGTGAAGGGAATTCGCGGATCGAAAAGAAAAGTTGACAGCAACAATCCGGTACTACACCGATGACGATGCAGAATTGCCAGCACCGCTGTGGACATATTTTGCTATTTCATTTCAGACTACATGCACATGGTGAGGAGGGGAACAGGGGATCGATCCTCCTCACGATTAATCTCACTCATGGCGCGCATCTCAGCAGGACTCGGTACCGGGTTAGAGAGAGAAGAGTTCGGCGTCAGATAGATATAGTCTAGTCAAGAGCAATGAATAAAAAATGTTTGTGGCATCCTGGGTGACCGACGCCGGCTGGTGCGTCCAACTCGGATAGAACCACACTCGGTAGGCTGCGGCAAATACGAGTAGTGCGGTTGCTTGTTGCGGTTTGTTCTGGGAACGAACGGTATGCTGAGGTGCTGAAGGGCGTCGGTCCCCTGTTCACGCCCAGAAAGGTACGCTAACACGCGGCCTCGTCGCAACATATACGTGCAAGGCAGCGCATGTACATACATGTAGGAAAAAACAGCCCGAAAAAAAGGCTACCTCGACGCTACAGCTCGCTCGGCGTGAGAGAGACACGAATATTGTGTGTGTGTAGAGAGAGGGGGGGGGGGCGAGCGATGTTGTCCGCCACTCCACCGCCCGGTTGCCCGAGAGAAAATCCTTGCATGGCATCTACGATTTACCACATTTGCGATCAAGGATGCGCGGGCGTCGAGTTTTCCAAGAAATTTCCATGCGCGCACGTCGCGACGCCAGCCCCCGCCCCTTGCTGCCTCTTGCATCAGAACCAACAACCACGGAGCCTAGGCGCCACGACTCGCAAGACCAAGCAGATAACTGGTGAGACGGGATGGAAGAGCTAGGAGCCTATGCGCGTTCACGTCGTGTCCCGAAGTTCAGGAGCGCAGCAGTGTAGCGGTGGGGGTCAACGCCAGCCGGGCCGAAAAGTCTGCTGCTGTAGGTTGCTGGTGTGGCATAGTTTCTGTTGCGGAGTCGGCACGCTCACAGGTGCAAGCGTATCGCAGTCGAGCCACCCCCTCCCGCTATTACCACCTTCGTATTTCGTGGGTGTCCAAAGCCTGGACGTGTGGACTATGGACAAACCTTCTTTTCTGCTCTGTTGGATGTACTCACAGCATGACAGATTATTTCGAGTCAGAACTTTCCGAACAGATGGAGCGGGGAGATCCGGGGGTTCAACAGTTGGTATGGATTAGATTTGGTGGTACCAAATTTACCACATATT